CACTGCCATCGAATCAACGCCGGTATTCATTGCAACTCTCTAGGAAGGACGTGGTAGAAATGCTCCTGTGGGTTTCCAAGACTATAAGTCATTCCAAGAGTAGACTGCCTCGTCTTTTTCCCAAGGAGCAGCTGGTGGCGTTGCAGCGCTGACCCTACAGTGAACAGCCTGACACAAACCCCCCAGGCAGCCGCCACCAGGGCTCCCTCGTTAGTCATTAAGGAGATACTAATTGAAACCCCAATGAGATGTCACTTCCTTCCCTGGCATGCCTATCACAACAAAGAGATGGTGAGGAGGGGATGCGGACTTGGCCTGAACCAGAGGCATGGAAAATGGAATAGCTGCTGTGGCAAAGGTGGGGGGCTCCTTAAAACGCCAAGCATCGATGTCACAGAGAAGCAGTGAGAAAAATGTGGACGCCCACGCCCATCCCCCAACACCCTTCACAAGAGCCAAAAGTTGTCTATCAATAGATCAATGGAGAAATGAAATGTGATTCATGCGGCCAACGGAAAAGTAGCTGAAATCAAATCCCCTCTCCGGCCATCAAGTAGACTAACGACTCATCGTGACCCCACATAGGGTTTCCTTCTCACTCATGCACTGCCATCCAGTCAATGCTGACTCACAGTGACACCCCCGACGATAACTGTTTATAGGAGTAGAAAGCCCAGTTTTTCTCCCTAGGAGCTGCTGGTGGTTTTGAACTGCCGGCCATTCGGATCGAAGCCCAACACATAACCACGACACCACCTAGGCTCCCAGAAGGTAAATGTTTACAGGGAGCAGCAAACAGCCTCAGCCTCTCTTAAGGAGGACCTGGTGGGTCTTGAAACACTGACCTTACGGTTAGCAGCCTAACCTACAGCACCCTTCATCTGTAAAGAGGGATGAAGGCTGGATGCACCCTACAACACAGGTGGACATGACCCAGAGAGGTCAGTGAAAGAAGCAGAAGGGTGACTATGGATTCTTTGGCACATGCAGATGTAGAGGCATCAAAGGTAAATGGCTTTGGTGACCAGGCACAGGAAGGAGGCGAGAAAAGGAGTCTTAGCCCGGGGCGCCCTGAGCATCTCTTAATGGCAGTGGGCTCATTTGGAGATGAAATAGAGGGCATAGTGGGATGGTTGTCACTGAAGCATTCATGTACAAAAGGGGAAATTGGCAAATGGTTAAACACACACACACACACACACACACGCACGCACACACAATACACACAGGGGTTTCAAAAAGTTCATGGATAAATGGAAAATTTAAAAATCTTGGAAATTCCCCACATACTTTTTGAAGCCCTCTTATACATATATATGTACATATGTCTAATATGCATATCTATATAAAGTATGTCTATGTATATTGTATACACACACACACATACAAATAAAGCCCTTGTGGCATAGTGGGTTAAACATTGGGCTGCTAACTAAGAGGTTATCAGTTCAAATCCACCAGCCATCCCTCAGGCGAGGTGGCTGTCAGCTTCTGTAAAGATTTCCAGCCTTGGAAACCCTAGGAACAGTTCCGTTCTGTCCTGTAGAGCCGCTATGAGCAGAACTGACTTGACAGTTTTTTTCCTCCTTCTAATTTGTGTGTGTACACACACACACACACACACACACACACACACACACACACAGCTGATAAGTATATAGTTAGCAGTCCGTCACATAACGCTATGCCGTGTGTGTGGTGTGTGTAATTGTTTTCACGGGAAAGTAACTTTTCAAGTATACCAGAA